AGTACTTAACTACACGCGCCATTGCGCGCCGCGCGTTGATTGTGCGATGGATCTGCTGACCGGGTTCGTAAAATGGGAGTCTGAACATTAGTGTGTTAGCCCAGATGTTTCCTGGTCCATTTCACAGCTCGTTCAAGCCGAACGAGCATTCTGGGCTTTTGTTTCTTGCTTGGCTTGTATTTAAATTCATTTTTCCTCCCCATGAAAGTTTTCGGATGGCTCTGTAGAAGAACTAGGCAATCATTACATGAGACAGTGAACAAGGAATGAGCGTTCCCAAAGTCTGGTCCCTCCACGAACGTCAAGTTGATGTGCTGGGCTGTGCCCGCTGGAATGGCTTAATTCAAACCCATAAATCATTCCATAGGCGCAAAGGCAGTTTTTTCCTCTCAATTAGAGCCCAAAAATGTGGCAACACGGGAAATCCCTCATGGATCTTAGGAGCGCGACAAATCCAATGTTATACATATATCACCCAGGAGATACACGATCGGGACAGGTGTGGACAAGGGACAGGTGCCCACGCCGTAAGAATTGCTCACTGCTTCATGAATGAACCAAGTGGAGCGAGGATATCGATTGAACACTTTGAAAGACGTCAAAAATTCCTTGAAGGTCCAAAACAGGGTTTGTTAATCCAAGTAAAGATCTCAACTTTTTACATTAATTGATCACTAGGACAGAAAAAGGTCTGAATTTCGTGATATAGAATGGCTGGTGTGTGGCAGTAGTGTAAACAAATAAAAATGGAAAAGCAAATAAAAATAAAAAATGGATTTAACAGCATAACGAAAAAAAGACGTTTAGCCTTAGGTGACAAAGATAGCTATGAAAATCAAGAAAAAATTCCGTAGATGGACGGAACAAGATCATTATGAATTCGCGGCAACTGGCACATTTCATGGATTTCATTAGCGAGATTGAGATCGCTCACACAAACCCTCCATTTCCCACCTGTTCCGTGTGAAACCAAATAACTCCGCATTTTCGCAACTGTTTTCGTCGATGGTTTTCAAACGACTGGGACGTGTGGAATAGTCGGAATGGGTGGTCCTACAGGGCCAATTTGAGCTGTTATGAAACTGGTAGCTCAATAAATTACGGACCAAAAGTATTTGCAGGAACATTTCAGAAAGCCACACATTAGTTAGTTTGGAACTCTTAGATTTGAAAGAGCTCGTTTTTTTAGTAAACGGCACTATGGATCACTATAACAATTAAACTTAAAGGCACAACCCAGGCAGAGGTCGTGTGAACGCTTCTCTTCGGTCTGTAGTATAGACCCTAGAGGACAATCACAAATGTGGCGTTCTCGTGCACGGAAACCAACCGACAAGAGCGCTTGGGCCTTGCAAAGTAAGCTGCCCAAGCTGCAGACTTTTTTCTCTTATCAGGCTGTTGTCTGGCGCTCTCTCATCTGTAGCGCTCTCTCGCCTCATACTCTCCTCTCCGCGCTTAGTCTCTCATTCCCTTAGCACAGCCGATTAGGAAGGTGAGTGAGCCCTTAACCTAAGCGTTTTCGACGGATTCTTTTCCTTTTTCTTTACTGCCGGCCCACTTGGCACCAATACATTCGCATTCGTGTGCAAGAGCCACACCAATGTGATCCTGGGGCATTCTAATTTCATTCGACTTTTCTTACTTTTCCTTACTTTATCGGTTGGATGATAAGCCGATATCAGCGAAAATTAGTCCAAGTTAGATTCGTTTTGTTATGTGCATTTGCGTTGAGGTATATAGGTATATTGTCCCCATTCCGATTTCCGGTTTTCGCGTGCGTTACGTGGCCTTGAACCCCTGCCCATTGCCATCCTGAAGCTCAATGCAGGCCATTTATAGAATTGAATTGCGGTACTCGAAAGAATTATTGTGGCCCTTCTGCAAGCAAAACGTTTACACGAAAAAGGCCTGTTTGTTTACTACCAATGCTTCCGAAATACTGCCACAAAAGCGATTAGATTAAATGGAGGAGAACGAACGGAAAAAGCGTTATCCCTTAAGAGCTATGGACCAAAAAAGACTGCACGGGTCAGAAATGTGACATGGAAAACAAAACAGTTGCTGCTTTGAAAAATGTGTTTTGGAAGGATGAGAAATGGAAGCAGTTGGAGCGTACATTCTCTATTTTTAGCTTTCTCAAGAAATGCAATGCCATCAAAAAGATGAACTACTACAAGTCAGTCAATAGTTCTGACTTCTCAATGCTAAAATATGGCAGGTCATTATATAAGTTATCTGCTTAGCCCAGCAGCACTCGGAAATCAGGAAATCAAATGGTTCTCTCGAAGGCAGTGATAACAATGGCATGGGGGCTGTGCGGTTTTGATGACGTGTTTGAACGTCATTGGTCAACTAGACCAACCAGTGGGCAGGCGCGTGTGATCGGCTCCGCCTCGTAACGCTCTACCGCCAATGGCGTTCAATGACGTCATCAAGACCGCACAGCCCTCAAGCCATTGTTATCACTGTTGTTAAAGATTTTTAAAGAAAAGTTGCAGCCCGTTTGTGAAAGGTGTTCAATAACCTGGTAGATGATAACAGGCTCGCAGATTGCGTTCATTCCAACCAGCTTTCTATTCCTCCGCGAATGTTTGTGTGAAGCTACACCCGCAGAAAAAAATGTTGGAAAAAATCAATGGTGAATGTGTCATGTGAACCCTGGAACTTTTTTCGGTAGCACATTCAAAGTTCATCATAAATGTGAATCAATGCCTGATACGTGGCGTATTCAAGAAGGTTCGATTAACGGTGAGTATTGCACCATATTTATTTTTTAGCCTTGACAGGGCCTAGGGTGGCTTCATTCAAAACCACCACAGCAGGCGTACTCAATGCGGTTATGATTTTTGAAACAATTATCCTGCCTTCAGAGCTCAAATCAATCGCATAACGAAAAACGAAGTCGCAAAAAGCATGCTAATCCTCTAATCTCGTTTGCAGTCAGAGGAGGCTCAGAGATAATGTCAAACAAAAAAAATAATAAAATCCTTTCTTTAAAAAAAACAACGTAGAACTGCACCAAAAGCACCCAATGGGACTTTTTTGGAATAGCAGTGCGCTCTAACGTTTCACCCGGTTATTTATCCCATAAAATTACCAATGTGCATATTTAAGCACAGTTCGAGTTCAAAGCTAGCAAGACTGCAAGGTTTTCCGGATTAGCTCTGCTGGCAGGCAACCCTGAATACTCACGAAGTGTTCGTTAGGCACCTACCAGAGGTAGTATCCTGTAGAGAGAGCTAAATTGTGTATTGTTTGAGTTTTTCACTTTTTTGACAAGACCTTCCCATGGTGGGTTATGTCCCAATTCAGTACAGGTCTGGAGAGCCTGGCAACCTCGCCCAGCTCACTGCATCTCACTACATCTAGATCGGCGCAGTAGTTCAATGCTATGGGAAGAAAAAAGCTACACAATGGGAGCCAGAAAGTGTTCTTAAGGTAAAAGAGGTAAAATAATACTAAGGCATCTCTTCTGAAAAGATCTAATAGAGCACAGAATAGGTGGAAATCAGGTCAACACTCTTCGTAGTAGGACAACGCAGGCTTCACCAGACAGAGAGTTTTGTGAAGTGTTTTGACCTTCCAAGACAGAGAATTCGGAAGTGAGCTACAGGTACGACGTACAATGTACGGCGGAAGCACCCCTCGAAAAATGACTTTCGAGGACATCCTAGAAAGAAAATTTTGCGCATAGGTAAGATAAGGGGCACCCTCTATAATTAAGTCCAGGAAGGGGCAGGAACTTAGGGGAAATGAAAACTGCTCATGCACCCTGATATTTTTCTTCCCCCGTTTGGAGCTCAGCCCTTTTCTTCGCAAAAAGGGGATGTTCTACGCGGTTTGAAATGCTGCCATAAAGGTCCCCTATCTTGCGATAGCCCCACAAATTTTTATCAACTTCTCCACTTTTTGAAACGGGAGTTTTTCAGCGACTTCGAGAAAAGTCAATGAAATGTCCATGGTATCACTTATGTATTTCTCGCAGAATATGCATTTTTGGGATCCGTTTGATTAGATAAAGCTGCAGATGCAGTATAGTTAGAATTCAAGCGAACTTCCGTGATAGTTTTTGCAGTACAAATTGCTACTACGTACGCGTCATAACCACGTCAGTAGTCGTCGTCAAGAGCACGACTTGTCAGGGGCAAATCGGATTTGGTTAAAGACGACGTGTGCCGCCGAACAACGCATTTTGTTCAACATCTATCAGCTTCGCTATGAAACCCCTGAAAGACAGCTTGCGATAGGCTGGTTCTATTGAAATGAAAAATAGAGGTGCCAAATGGTACGTTTCGGACGAAAAAAGAGGAAAAATGGTAGGAACCCGAGAAACGACACCCACATCTCACCGGTCTCAAAGTTGGGCGAATTACCCCGGCTATTGGCACTTCGATGGTCGTTGCAACATCTTGAAGTTGAATTTTAGAATCATACTATTAGCATTTATTTGATGTATTATCATTATAATTATACAATGTGTACTCGTACAGCGCAGACGAATATCCGGAAGCTGAAATTGGAAAGGTTCCAAGTGAGGCGGGTCGACACGAAAGGTACTTCTGAGAAAAAAAACCACTCATCTCGTCCGGGAAAAGATATGTTTAGATCCCGAAGGACACTATTCGGCACCTTATAATTTTGTTGATAGACCGCTTTAAAAAGCACCTTATACCGTCTACGTGGACCCTTCTCCAACCTCTACACCCATTTTTCTCTTTCATAAGTATCAGTTTTTACGCGAGTTTTGTCTTTAGGGCTGTGAAATGTGAGGCAAGAACTGGAATCGCATCAAGCCTAGGTAGACTTCAATTTCCTTATCCCATGAAAATTGACACGGGTCTCCGAATATAGAGTGAATCTCCCGCCAGCGCTTATGGGAAAATCCATTAGACGACCATAGACCGAATTTACATGCACTTGTGCCTAGGCAAGAACTTCATTGAGACGCCCTACCGCATTGCTGCGGCCAAAAAAGGAACTTAAGAACAACAAAGACGTACTATCGACGATTCGAGTCGGCGGATTTCTTCCAGATGTCGTTTTGCGTGGAAGTGTGCTTTCCGTCTCCATACTAATCAAGAGCACATGTGTGGGCGACCAGATCACTAAAATATTCGCGAATTAGAAGGCTATTGAGCGTAACTTTTAAGCGGTAATTTGCGAGTAAATAAGTAAAACAGTAATGGAGAGCAACGATCAATGATCTCATGCAAATGACACATAGAAATCTAATTAATGACGGGTTGCATAGACCGCGATGAGTTGCATAATATAGTCCAGAGTTTGCTCCCTGAACCGAAACCAAGAAGAAAGAACGACGGGATAAACACTGTGATACATCATATTACGTCGTGTGGGTCACCAGGGACGCTGAAAATCGACAAAGGCACGATCTCAGGCCTCTCTACGTGGTCATGCTCCCCCTCGCCCTGGGTGTATGTGTGAGCGTGTCCGAAACCCTCGCGGCTTAATGACATGCCGCCACACTGCCTAGCGATTTGGTTAACGATGAAGCTAACAACACACATGAAATTTAAGTGAAATGAATTTACTGAAAAAAGGTAAAGACTAGTCGCTGGCAGCATTTGAGTGATGCATGCTGCGATTTGTAACAAACACATGTTGTTTTCAATTTTTTCTGATACAAATGTTTGTAGTGGATAAATCACGTCAGTAGCAGGCAAGACGGTTCGCTAACGAGTAATCACAGGGCTTCTTAGGCGAACTGAAAAAGGAACTTCCAGTTATTATAGTTTGTTGGAGGAGGGGGGGGGGTAGCAGTAGGCAAGTCGAACCAATTAAGCGGCACCAAATGAAACGCCACCAATGAATTAGGCTTTTTCCCTAAGGGTTTTGCGTAAAAAACTGCTAATCAATATTGGGAAGGGGCCGTCAGACTAAGTGGAGATATCGCTTCAATTGCATAAAAAGACCGTAGGAAAACTCCCTCTGTAGTGCCTCTCAAAGCAAAGAACTAGTTAGGAGAGAGCTTCTGCTCCGTTGGCACCAGCGCAACAAACAACGGCAAGCCAGTGAATACGCAGGGCACTGCTGACAACAATGCCACTTTACGATGGACACGAAAAATCGGCAAGATCACTACCACGGCCGTCTAGTACGTCGAATCAGCCGCGGCCCAGCTTCCATTCAAGTCGTTTCCGCTTTTTTCTCGCTTCAACTAGTACACGCCTTCCTTCTGGCGGCTATTCATCTCAGAGAACAATCAGTGCAGCACCCAGTGGCATGCGTTTCGTAGTCCAAAGACCTCCGGAGGGACACAAAATGGGTCAAAATGAGCTGACATCACGGAGCCGATACCGTGTGGAAACGTTCGTCGGCCGTGATTCTTGAATTATTCACATGCTTCAGTAGCAGCAGTTGTGGAGGCTAGAGATGTTTACTAGTCCACAGGAGAAAACAACTTTGACAATCACTGTTGAACGGATAAACGGGACGTGGCCACTGTTGATTATCAATTTATTACACCAAAGACTTCACATAGTGCTCGATCCAAGCGTACGAGTAGTGCGGAGCCGAATGCAAGATGAATTCGAAATAGCGTAGCGTGGCTGAGGAGCGCGATTGGCAGACTCGCATGAATGAGCAGAAACCGAGAGAAACGGATGTCAATATGGAGCTTCAAAAGGAGGAGACGAGGAGAGTGATGGTGGAAGGGATGGCGTAGCACGACGGAGAGCTGAGAGAGCGAAATGGAGACGTCGAGAGACGACGGCGAGGAACATGCCGAGTGAAGCGAAAATACGAACTAGATTAAGAACGTGGCGGCTTGAGGTAGGCGAGATAATTGCATCCGACATGCTTCGCATTCTACTCTCTCATATCGAACTTGTTTCGATGACAAATGACCAAACCACCGTGTCAAGTAGAAGAAGTGATGTTAAGTTCAGTTTTTTTTCCTTATGCCAACAAGTTTTTTAGGTGACAACCTTATTTACGGCCTAATGTATCTACCCAGACGTCATTTTCAAGGGCCTGTACCTCATGTCCTTAGGGAGGACATTCAAACAGGGCATTCAAAAACCGCTGGTAGGTGACACTAGGACTAAGCCCAGGATTGGGAATAAACACCAGGGAGGTTGCTCACATCCTCCCCAGAATCCTTTCCCTCCCTAAGGCTTAGTCCCAAGTTCTATGAGTGGTCCACCCCCCCCCCCTCAATGTCCCCCTAAGGACATGAGCGCCGAAAAACACTAAACTTAACAACGATGCTAAGGTTTTATGAAGAGGATGCTTGATGAAGAAGTGTCAGGTTTACTGAACATATAGCCTACAAATGTGTATACCTACATAACGAAGGGATATAATTGCATTCGTTGACGTCAGGCTTAAATGGCCCACATAACACAACAACAACAACACTAGCACTAGCGCTGATTGAGTGAATGCTCTCAGCAGCAGAGACGACCTGAGCTCAATGGCATCAAGCTGCTGCTGCTGTTGCTGCTGCCGTTCTCCGCTTTGACTTTTCAGCAGTCTGGCCGGCGTAGAATCGAGTAGCCTGAGAATCGATCCCCACTCATATGAGTGAAAAGCTGAAAGACACGGTAACCACTTTCGTTCTTCTAGCCGCTTATTCAAGGAGCAACGTAAAACAGAAGCCGTTGCAGCGGCGACGATGGCTGCAGGTGGAGATGCAGCCGTACGGCTGGAATTTTCTTGTGCCAGTATACAAATATGTGCTCGGGCGGAAACTCGAAAAACCCCAAACGGAAATGCAATATCGGCAAGGAGGAATAGACGATGAATGAGAATAAAGTAATGATTAATACTTACAGGAATCGCCAAGGTTGTACAACTCAAGAAGGCTGATGGATGGCCGTTTCGAAGATTTTATATTAGCTTGCGGCACCACGCCTCCCGTGGAATTCGACACCATTTATCATACCCTAGTTGAAATTTTGGTTCAAAAAGTAGTGGAAGGAGGGCTGTAGAGCCCCTCAAAAGAGGAGAAATCTTCCGGTGGCGAAAAACAACAATGATTCTCTACAAGGTAAGCAGTGCCCTTCTCCTGAGCGGATGTAGGAGATTAGAGGAAGCTCAGCGCACATGTGGCTCTCGTACTGGCACTTCACGTAAATACAAGTAATTTTACCACTCAACCATTTTACGGGTGGAAAACAACTTCAGACTTCCTTGAAAAGCTGTAGTAAGATCGAGGATAATTTTATGATATTTCAATATGTTCAGCACAATGTGGACCACCTGGTCGCTGATAGTCCCATAACCACTTCAATTTGGAACGGATTGCTCGAGTCTAGACTCGCTAAGGACGACTACATACACTGGTGTGCAAAACTTGCGGACGAACGTTGCTTTTCTATGACTTGTTACTGGCACGTAATAGAAAGAGCATAGAACATAGAAAGAGCTGGTGTAGTGCAGTATAGGAAGCAATTGACGTGAACCGTGAAACGGTTCACAAAGTTATCATTAAGTTACGTTACTCCATCTATGTCGTCCTTAATTTTGCACACCATTGTACAGTAGCTAGACCCTTGTTGTAAGCTTCATAGAGGTTCTAAATCCAATCAAATCTTGGTGGAAGTTAAGTGCACGGCCTACCAATAGGACTAGACCGGGATCAAAATTTCACCTTCTTCATACATTTCCGTCACAGCGTTTCCAGAAAACCAATGCTTTTCCACTTCGTTAGAAATGCCTGCAGTCTTTGCGGGGTAGAAGAATTAAACCATAATTTCTACGGTCATCTCTGACGATTTCTGGCCTACCATTGTTCTTTTCCACGTTACCCACAAATCGAACTATGGACTCACTTGGCTACGGATGGTTGCATTCAGTCGAACGCATTCAGGCCTGCTACAATTCTCCTTCAATATCCAACAATGTGTCTAATCCGCTGTTCACTCATCAGCTTTCATCTTCTTCAATTCTAAGTAACCTTTGTATTCGTCAAATGTTTGTAACTAATGTAGCGTTGCCGATGACTATTGTTAGTAAAATATGACATGTAGGTAAGCCTACCACAAAGGAAAAATTGAAAAAGAAAGGAAAGAGTAGGAGGAAATGATGTTTCTCCGGTTGAGAAGTACGTCTAAGTAGATACAAGGACCATGATGTTGTTTTCCAGGATTTGTGAGTAAAGGCTGTACTCTTTTACTGAACTCACTCCAACGCGAGGTGACCCGAAACTGTGTGATACCACACCTAGTACCTCATATTACCTAGTACCTCACATCACCTACCTTATTACCTTAAATTACCTTAAATACCTTACCCTAATATCTTAAACCTCGAACTGGTCACAATACCCCACTTTTTTTTATCTTATAAGCTTATTCTTGACTCTTAGGCCTCACACTTCGCGATTAGCCTATATAGCGAGTGAATGCAGTAAATATGGGAAGTATATGGGAAACAAGAAAGTGAGTGGCTTCCTTGTACTGCACCAATATCTGAAGTTCATCGTATGTACTCGTAGTAGTGCAAAGCCCGAAGCAGAGCGTATGTATCTCAAGCGAAGCAACGCCTTATCGTTCATTAAAAGGAAATTGCGTCTCCTCAACATGCTGACCTTTCAAAATAGAATGAGCAAAAATAGAAGGTAATCGGTTTGGGAATCAATTCATCCGTAAAAGGCGAAAGGATTGAATTATGAGCAGGGAACAATCCATCTATGGTGCGCCACGCACCGCAGAACTGCACAGAATTGTAGTGACATTTGAATTCATTAATTCAGTTGCAATGACTTCCGGATGCCATCCAATTGCTCTTTTCTCTCCCATATAGTCTATTTCCAGTTATCCACCAATAGTTGATACCAGAAAGGGATCCTGCGATCCTTAACAGATTGTATAGGTGAAATAAGCACCTCTTGCTACTGCACCACCATAGTCGTGTACGAAAATGTAAATAAGGGTGTCTGAAATGAAAATTTCGTATGCAACGGTGTTGTAAAAATATCTGAAATCTACAATTAAAAAGTAGGTTGGCGGATAAATACACTATTGCCCATTCTTGTGGTGAAGCCATAGTTCAAAAAGATCGATAGTTTTCATGCAAGAAAATGCTATTTGAATTCTATTGAGAGC